TCAGTTTTGATTTTTTTTATAGGGAGTTATCTACTTTGGCTCGTAGAAAGTACCATGGGGTAAATTTGGTACAAGTTTCTAAGTAATATCACCACTCTTGAACGTGTTTTCCTGCATAAAGATCTGGGCATTAATTTCCCAATAATTAAATTTTGATTATTTCATAATCATAGGCACAACTAGGGTTAATTTTGGTCTAAGCCCTCTAGTTCTCCTCTCCTAGTTACGCCGATGAGTATAACAATAAATCTTCAACCAATCAATAATTCATTAATATCACCGTTGGTAATGGTTCATAAATTTTTGGATTTTAAAATCGTAATACCAAACAGTACACGTACCTACCGTAGTTTTCATTATATTTTGACGTTAGTTTGGTTAATTATAGAATATAGTGTGGTAGTATGACATCCTTACTAGGCTAACGATGAATTATATTTAGGCTAGAACCTGCTCAGAATAGGTTCCTTTCGTATTTAGTCCATATTTTTTTTCTAACCATGATAAACGGTGTGCTATGGAAATACCAATTTTACTGAAAAGTTCTGGAGAATTTTTACTTTACAAACCCCCTCCCCTCCCCACACATACACAAAACTAGATTTTATACTTTATTTCCACAAATCTCTCTCAAAATTAAGATCATGGCTTTTTTTTATTTTAGAAAAAGAGTTTTCATACACAAAAAGAGGGAAAGTAGGTATCCGCTGTACAGTTGTAAGAGTACTTCAACATTGAGTAAGCTTTGTAAACGAATGTGTTAAATTTGAACTTAATGAGAAATTATAGCAAAAAACGATTCCGAGTGAGAACTGGCCGTCAGCCTATATTACTATTTTAAGATAATATATTTGTAAATTGTAATGCTATTATAGTATTATATTTTACTATTACAATTTTATGATTTTTTTTAAAAAAGTTTTTCTGAGTTTGTGTCGATAGATACTATAATATACACTTAAAGTTGTTTACAATTGGTATGGATGATCATTGATTGTAAATTCTAGTATTTATAATCAATGGTTTAAGTAATGCAAATATAATAAGTATGTAAAAAAATTTTTTGTTTATAGCCGTAATATAACTTTATGACTGGATATTTACATTTTTTCTTCACTTCATCAGTAGTGTTTGGCATCTACTGTTGAGTCAACATACTGTAAGTGGGTCCTTTAATCATTAAAAATAAATAGACGGTAATTTGAAAGTGGTTGAAAAAATTGATTGCTTATTTTTTAAGATTCCACGTATGTAGTTAATTCTGTTACCAAAAAATCTAAAAAATACATATTAAGCACAGTTTATTTTTATAGTAATTTTAAGTTCAAATATTGCATGAAATTACATATTAAAAAACCTAGAATAACTATTTTATTTATTCTGTTGTGATTATATAATATTATTCGTTTGTACTTGAAACTTCTAAAGTGTACTATTATATATCTATTAAAGTATCACGGTTTATTGTTGATGTATAACGCAATATAAGTACCTAATGGATATTGTGATATGATTAATTTGGAATTTATTATAGGTAATTTTTTTTAATACGATAGATAAGTATATAATATGTCTTATACCTAGGTCCTAGACTGACATACCGTCTCCCCTCAGAATCGTTTTTCTTATACAATGATATTATATCATTTAATTCAAATTTAAGACTATCCATTATACAGTGGCCCAATTGTAACCTACTGTACAGCAGAGCACCTTTTTTTTTTTTTATTCAAAATGGGCCCACTGACCATTTTCTAGTAAATTATATATTTAACTTCTTTACTGTAGGTAAATATTTGGAAATGTTGACTTGCAGTTTGTTAGAAACCATAAAAAAAGCATTTAATTAGATTACAATGATTACATAAACCACAGAACCCAGGTTATGAAAGAATGATTATACCAAAACATACAATTACTATACATAACCTAACAGTTGGGCCAGTGGTGGTAATTTGAGGGATTCAAGATGGGCATTGGACCCTTTCTACCTGTAAAATCAGTCCAAGTGTTGGCCAGGTTATTGGTGAAATAATATAACTATCGTTTTCTAATTTCAAAGAATTATAATACTGTGTAAGCACTAGAAGCCTACTATCACAATAATAATTAATATTTAAAGTTTTGTATGTAAGATGGGAATTGTATTGAGATGTAAATTAGCTTGTGAGCTGAGCGATCTGTTGCTTTTTGGTTCAGTTGTGACATATATTTCGTTTCAAATTCTCAATATCCAGAACGTCCGGTAGTTGGTCTTTTTGGTCGGGGATACTAGTCGGAGAGATAATGTAGTCACGGTGATTCATGTGATTTTTGAGAGCTAGGCCTGTTTGGTTGGCCAATCTGCTGTTCCACGCTGGGTTGGAAGGTCGGTGTCCAGCATTAGGTGGATGTCTGTCGTTTGGAGGGTTGTTACTGGTTTTTTGTAACCAGCTGAAAGCCTCATCCCGTGGTGGTTGATTTAAATGTGAATAGTGGTGTTTTCGATAGAGTTTTTCGTGCTGGTAGTCTCATAGTGGATGAGCCTGTTGAACACAAAGATGGCCGTGCCTCCAGCGCTTCTTTGACCTGGTGTCAATTCCAGTGGAGAATTTTAAGTTGTTCAGTAATTTTGGCTAATGAGTGAGACTATGGCTGAGATGGCTAGAAGGATGGTATCTTTGAAGTTCGATGAAGTCGCAATTTGGCTGATCACGAGGTTTAGGATTTCTATTAGGTCCGAGTTTGTCTTGTTCATGTTCGCGACATTAGGAGATTGGACAGCATTTGGTGGTGAACAGACTTGGGCGTATGTTAGTGACTTGGGTTGGATGATTGAGGTTTGTGGTGTAGAGGCTGGTTGGAGTTCTAGAGGGTGTTTCTCTTCAGAGAGGCTGCTTTGGTGTAGGCAGGACACTTCCGGTAGTTAACCGTGTGTTCTCCGTTGCAGTTTCAGAGTATGGGTGGTTGGCTGGAGGTCTTGGTACAGGACTTGGTAGTGCATTCTTTTCCGCGATTATATTGTTACGATAGTACTATAATATAGTATACCTACGACGTATTAATATACAAGTGTTGACCCTATAAAATCTAGGTGGTTGGTCGGAGGTCTTTGTACAGGACTTGGGAGTGTGGTTGTCTCCGAATGTTACACAGCGGGCAATGTGACTGCAGTATGATGAGGAGTGGCCGAATCCCTGGCAAGTGAAGCACTGGGTTGGCTGGTAGTTTGGTACTGCTCGATTTTGATGCAGACGTAGAATAGAGAGTTGAGGTTGAAGATTTCATTGCTGTCGGTGGTGCCTGGCAGAGTGAGCATGTACATTGGTCTTTTCCTGCCCTCCTTAAGGAATTGCAGTACGAGGGTAACGTTGTATCCGATTATTTCTATACTTACTCTATGACTACTTCAATATGGACAATCTGTCGTAATATTTCATTTAAATGCTTTAAATATAATATTATAATACATAATGCTATTATATATAGTATACGTACGACATATTAATATGCATGTGTTGACTCTATAAAATCATGAAATGCAATATGCATTTATATATTTTACTATAATATATTCCAATTTTTCTTAAAAAATTCATTTAAAAATATTCACATAAGGCAGGTGATTTTTTACGAAATCAAAGCATTCTATTTTTATGGATCAAAATTATAATTAATAATTCGAGTGGAAGATCTTTGAGGCAAAAACGAAGAGATGGGATAAATATGCTACTGAAAATGGTGTACAGGAAAATGTACACATAAAATGTTTTTTTTTAACCCACACGCTGATTAGACGAGCTCCTTATCTCCAGGGTCAGACGAACGTGACAAGAAGTGGAAAAGTGGACATCACAATGGATGAAAAATATTAATCAAGAAACTTTTTCGCTTTTTTATTAAATGCTTATTATTTTTCGTCCAACTGGCTAAGCCAATTATCCAACGCTCCTTTTTCTCGTGATGTAAGGCTCATACTTTATTTATTTAATAATAAGCTATTAATGATAGTTTTACCATAATAAAACAGATATAGCATTTACATTAGTAGTGTATCCAGTAGGGGGTTGAGGGCAAAGAGGGCATTTGCCCCTCCAACCACTCTCCGTTGTTTCCTATGTTTTACACTATGTTTAGTAAATGTTGTAGCTAATTTTGTACTTTTTGTGCTTTTGCCTCCCATGACTCCCAAAATTAATGGGGGGGGGGGAGTCATTGGATCCACCACTGCTTTAGATTTTAGTCTGGTAAAATCATTAGCTATTTTATATTCGGAAAATATAACTCCATTTGACTTCGGAAACACTCATCTACCAAAATGCATAGATTCAACAAGACTTAACCAGGTATCAATCATTGTTCTGTCAGATTTTTACTGTAAAAGATTTATGTTCAGTGTATTATTTTTTAGTTTAATAATCAATAAACTTTATACGATATTAAAAATACTATTCTTTGTTTTATAAAATAATATTCATTATATTATTTTTCGTGTTTTGTTTAATACCTACTGATTTTATATGGTAAATATTTTATGTATCTATAAATAAAAACTACAACTGGCTTTCTCCAATATTACCTTATAAAGGTAATAAACTGAGAAATATTAATTTAACATACAGTATTTTTCTCAAATAAAAATCATAATCCAAAGTCCTTCTTTTCTTTGTTCTCATTCATCAATAAAATATTGCATATTACGATAAAGTGTAAAAAGATATGAGTTAAAAATAACACATTAACTTATCAACATGCAATAATATTATATGCATAATAAAAACTAGAATATAACCAAAATGAATTTTATTGTCTCACATTCGTAATGAATTATACTTAGGTATTTTAAATCTCTTATTAAATTATAGTTTTATTCTTTTAACTAATTACAATCATAGTAGATATACCTAATAAATGTTTACAATGGTCCTATAAATATTTTTTTGAATACCTAAGTAAATGTTTTTTTTCACAATTTAAAAGATTTTTTAACTAATTATTTATTTTATTGCAAAATCTAGGCACTATATATTACATATTTTAATGAAAAATAAGCAAAGTAGTAGTGCTTTTAATGTTATGAACAACTGAGTACCGGATGATTGTGTTGATCCTGTTTCAGTCTTTTCAGTTAGTATAATTGTGGCGCCGGGACTTAGATCAATCCACTCTGCGGTTAAAATCGATTTTCTAAAAATAAAACATTATATAAATATGTATATTGTAGTATCTTGTATTAGATTGCTAATATTATTTGTTTAATGTAAAAATCCTCTACAATGGAACATTATCTACTTATTTTTACAAAATAATTATGTACTAACCCGGTGTCAAAATTCGAGTTTACTGATCCAACAACAACAGTTAGAGAGTCACACAAATTTGATATTTTGTCTGATAAACGTACACGCTGTGTATAATTTGTATCCATGTTGATAATTAACGTGTAATTCTCATGTCCTTGTAAAAATCTGGAAAATTTTATAAAATCATTTTTAATACTCGTTTATTTCTAAAAACTCATACAATATTATTTATTTATAGAAAAATGTATATTTGTCATGTTTATGTAAATAAAAAAAGTTAGCACTCCGATAACTATTATAATCGAAAACAGGAAAAATTTCGGTTAGGTTAGGTCGGTAGGATTTTCTTTTTTTTTCTCAAACAACCAGGCAATTAATAAGCAATATATAAAATATATGCAAAGTAATAAGCAATTTATTTATCATTCTTCTATAAGCAAAACTTGTGTCGATGATTGAGTGTTATTTACTTATACAGTATAAATTCGAAATCAAATTAAATAATATAATACCTATACAATGACGAGACAAGTCAGTTTCATATTATTATTTTTACATTTTAGATAAAAGAAAATTTTGTAGCGTCTTATTAATATTACAATTTATTATTGGATATTTCTTTATACGATTATTCAGACAATCGAATTAGGTGTTTTAGTAAATTTATATTTTTATCCCTAGTAAAAAATCTTCTGACGCCCTTGCATTTTACCTTTAATTATATGGACGAAAGTGGAAAAATTGATGCTCTAAAATATTGCTATAATATTATACTTTAAAACTGAAATGGTATTCACAATCATCATAATATTATTTGCACAATTAGTGCAACTTGAGCGTTTCTCTATCTCCCCCTATTTTTCTTCATGACTAGAATTTACTTTTTGTTTTTTTTATTCTGGTAGTACATATATAAATGAACTTATTTATTAGTAATTTACGTTAAAAACCGTGCTTAGATAATGGTCGGGGGTGTATATAATTTTAGATAGACTATATTTGACTCAATATAGACTATATTATTATCACTTATATAATATATATAATATACTAGCTGATCTCGTGCTCTTCGTTTCCCATTAAATGTACCAACTCTATATGACTCAAATTTTGTTCAATTCGTTATTTAATATTCGGTGTATGGTGTTCAAAATTTATCTTATTTCTTCTGTTGCCTGGGATAAAAATTCTGATTCGCAGCAGTATATTATCAGGTAGGAGATCTACCTGTGGTAAATCTCGGACTCCGTGCCGTTTGTACGTAACTTTATGATTTAACTCTGAAGTATCAAAGTTATACCAAGTATGTCACTGAACTCCTCCTAAACGGCTGGACTAATTGTGAATGCCGAGTCTGTCGACCAATATTTCCTCCTCATCCACGAAGACGTGGCTTTGTTTATGTACGTAACTTATATGTGAGTAAAATACTCTCAATATTTACGTAATTGTGATACATATAATATCAAAACATAGCGTACAAGAAAATTAAATGTATTGAATCAATACACTGACTTCAAGGCAACCAATAGTTATTATTATAATAGCTTTAAAACTTATGGCGACCATTTTTAAACAAAAATTTACACAGTAAATCTCTAAATCCCCGTTTGAGCACATCCCCTGGTTGGACCTTGGGGGATGATTTGTGATTCTAAATTCTCCAGAGAGTCACCCAAACGCATACAAAAAATTCATTCAAATAGGTCCAACCATTCAGGAGGAGTTCAGTCATAACACACGTACAGTATAATTATATATATAAAGATATAAAAACATTATTGATAAACAAATAGGTTATTTGCTTAGCTCAAAATCTAAAATACCTGATGGTAGAGGTAGTATATGTGTAGGTAGGTTCCCACAGGTTATTTAATATTTTAAGCCAATATTTTTTATGTAGGCAGTATGTAGTTATTCACAATTATTACCAACCTTTTTACTTCAAAGTGTACCTATATAATTAATTAACTACTAGAAAGAAATGTCTGCATAGGAGTATCAAATTTCAAATATATATAATATTGCCATTCAAAAAAGAAACAAAAAATTTCTACCATTTGGGAAAAATATAAGTTCTATAATAATATGTATTATGGCAAGTTAAATTCAAGAATTACCTTTCCACTTTTCAAAATCGACATTGTTGAGAACGTTTTGTAGATGTCATTGCTTTATTTTTTCTAACCATTTTATATTTTAATACACTCTTAAACCTTTTAAATCTATTAGCAAAAAATAAAACAAACAAACAATTTATTGTATTCATTTTAACAAATATATTTTTAACTTATGACGAAACTAAGAAATCTAGAGAAACAACAGTTTACATATTTATTGAGATTCACGAATGAGGATGATATTAAAACCTAAATGCATATATTGTATAATACTATAATACCATTATAATAAGTTATTGTTCAAATTTCAAGTTTCTATCACCACGGGAAAGCATCAAAAAGCGTTACATTTTTTTTGTTAAGCAAATTTTTTAAGACCCTTAGACCAAGGACAAATTAATATCAAAAAACTTCAATAAAATTAATTAATTTTTTTATTTATTGTTTTATAATGACTTCAAATTATTAAAGTAATCAAAAAATCAATAATGTAAATTTTGTCGAGACAACAAGAATAAGTAAATACATTTTTAGATTAGTTTTGAAGCTAAGCTACATAATAACTATTGTTTATTTACCTGTTTAAAACAAACACTTTATTGTCGTTAAAAATATCAGTCGCCAAACCTCCTCTTTTAAACGTTTCAGTCTGCCGTAATTTCGAAACTGATTTGAAAAAGTTCAAATAACTTTTAGGATCGTAGCTTTCAGACTGCACATTTCTCGTGACATAATCTGGGTGAACAGCGACCCATGGTTCATTTGTACCATCAGTGAATCCTAAATAATATAACGTACTATTTAATTATTTATTTGTAGAAAGTGACAAAATGTCAAAAATAACAATTTTTTTCAGTATTATTAATCTTTGTTATTATAGACAGTCACATCTCTTGATCTATGTATTTCTTACATATTAAGTATAATTATAATAATACATATTGTGATAGTATACCTTAAGGCTTAAGTTATGGAAAAAAACCCATTTGAAGAGTCTAACTTTTTTTATTTTTTTTTAGTTATGCGTAATTCAAATCTTTTTAAACATAACCGAACCAACCTAGCACATTTGCTGAGTTACCTCCAACAATTTTCAATTTATTATCGTTATTCTTGTTACGCTATTTTTTTTTTAAGCTATTTTATTGTGCTATCATTTAACGATTAACATACACATTCAAACCAGAAATGGAGGAAACTATACAAAAATGTCATAACTTTTTTTTTTATATTATTATAAAGCTGTCAACAAACGAACTATATATTTGTATGACATAGGTACCTATCTTGTAATATATATTAGCTCCTAAGTCTAATTGTATTTTATATATTGGATATCTACCATGAATGACGACATGCAATTATACATTACGTGTTATACATATCACTTATTATATTTTAGATGTTGTTCTAATAATGTGAACTTTGGTGTCCAGACGTCCCGGTTCCTTAATAGTTTGACCCGGTTTCCGGAATATCTTTGTCACATTATGATGATTTTGAAATGTACCAGAAATATCAACTATTATAATAAAAATATGTTAAGTACTTTATTTAAAAAATATAAATTCTTGTAAGTAGTATAAAAACCAAAATATCTTTAAAAACCGATATTGATATTGAAATTGATAAAATTGATATTGTTTTTATCTTAAAATTGTATACTAGGTCAATTCACTGAAATGTTAAAGCGAACATTGTAACAACATAACATTGGTTATTGGTTCTGCTGAATGCAAATGTTATATTTCGTACGTTTACTAGGCCGAGTCAACACTTATAGGCATGACTTACACTTTTAAATAATAAACTAACATACGACTAAAATGCTACATATATATAAGATATTTGAAATTGTAGTAAATATTTTTGACACGTATTTACTCTAATAATACTATAATAGATACATACCAGCGTATTTCGTATCATCCCACTGCATAGGTCCTCTTGCACGATTAGTTTTATCTGGTATGTTTTCCATTCCGATTTCTCCTCCATACAGAACTATGGATACACCCGGTAGGAATAAAGACAAAGCGTTCAATCCATCAATTAATTCTTTACCATAAAAAGTAGGAAATCTTGGTGTGTCGTGATTTTGGAGCTAAATTTTTATGTTGAATTGTGATAAAAATAATATTAAGAGCCTTAATAGTTAATAATAACCCATTAAAAGTGATTTTATATTTAAAGAAAACCCTAATTTTTCGATACCTGGGTATTAAAAATAATTAAAATTTAAAAATTATTAAATTATTTTTAAAATATATATATATATTTTTTAAAAATAATATATATATATATATATTATTTACTATTATTGTGAAAATATATATTATAAGAAGATAAGTACCGCCAATCCTTCGTGAAAGTAAATAAAATCATGATGCAACTAATAGCTTAAAATAAAATATTTCGAAAATTAAAATTAATCATTTACAAATAAACAACTAATGATGATATCAAAAAAGTCCACAAGTCATTACTATAATAAATAGCATTATGAATAGAATTATATAGGTACTTACAGATTGTAATTTAAAAATATGTCAAATATTTAAAAATAAAAGTATAATGTTATGACTATTGTGTTATATGCAATTCTTATAATTAGTATAATATATTATAACTTATAATATGAAATACCACTGAATTAAATGTTGCTCCAAATGGCATTTTAGTTATCCAATTTTCTATTTCCCTATCAAAATCTTTCGGAGTATAATTACTTGAATCATTCATTAAATTAAAATTTGTTGGTACTTCAGCTCCACTAGTGTAATAGTTATATAAGACACTGTGATTGGAATATGATTCAGTCATTATTATCCTGAAAGAAGATCTTAATTAAAATTATAATGAGACTATTAACGATTATACCCTTAGTGTAGAATACGTTATTTGTAGCAATAATTAATCATGCAAAGCGACATAAGTAGTTTGAAAACTTTAGAATCCATTGCAAATATTGTGTAATGGCTATTAAGTTTGCTTATATTTTTTATAAGATTCCTTTAATTAAGGTGGATGCTGTCTTCATATTCACGCTCTGTAATATACCCATCGGCCATCGTACACATTTTTAACTAATATTTTATGAGTTATCAGTAGGTATTTAAAGTTTAAATGATACGATTGGAGTGGTACATGGGTACACTGTAAAATATTGGTTCACTACTCAACTCATCTAAACATTTAAGTTTAAATAATAATAATTAATAAACTACTTGTCCGAATTTTGATTTTTATAGATTGAAATACTCTGAATAACATCTTGCTTCAAAATATGGAAATTAAAAATATATACTGTGATTCAAAAGATTACAAAAAAAAACCACATGAAAATTTTTAAAAACAGAAAAATATCATTTTTTCAACAGATATGCTGTAATTTTTAAAAGAAACATTTTCAAAAACGTTAACATTTTCTGAAATAATGAGTGTATTAAGTAAAATAGCTCACCTCGTGCATAATAATACATTAATATATACTATTTAATAATATTTTGTATTAACCTAAATTATATGATTTAATTAAAACATATGTCCACATACCCCGCTATAAAAATAAATAAATATCAAACCAGATATAGGTCTGATAATAATCTGCTTTAAAACGAAGACTATATTAAATTAATTAGATCATTTCTCAAACCTTGTATGATGATCTTTTTGTTTGAATTCATCAAGTAATAAACGCCATTCTTTAATCAAATCATATACTTCGACTTGATCTGCTGTATAAATATGATCTAAGCTAGAATAATCAAACACTGGGTTATTATTATTTAATATTGGTTCGTCTTCAAGTGATTCGCATTCGTATACATGTTTTAACGCATCGATTCGAATACCATCAATTCCGAATTCTATCCAATAGTTCAAAATATTCTTCATTTCTTCGTGAACTTTTTTGTTACGAAAGTTTAAATCGGGTAAATTATAAATGAACTGTGTGTAATAAAACTGTTTGCGAGTATTATGCCAAACCCAAGAACTGCTGTTTCCATACATTGTTTGCTAAAAATAATTGAAGATTAATTAATAAAACATGTATAAGTGGTACTAGAGGTGGGCCAAACTGTTCGATGTTTGAAGAATCGAACCAAACTGTACGTGTTCGGCTTGAGTTCAAAAGTCAAACTTAGATTTTAAAAAGACTATCTGAAAATAAATTGGATATGTAACGAACAAAAATGTTTTCTATTTTGTTATACATTAAACTAAAAAGTGTGATTCATAATTTAATTCAAAAGCTCGGTTCGATTTAAGTTCGGTATTAAACAAAATGCTTGTACCTAGTTCGGTTTGATGTTTAACATATCGTTTAATTCGAGTTCGACATCACACTTTGAATTATTCGGATCGACATACAATTAAAAAGTTATGTCGGAAACCATACCTTATAATTCAACCCGCCTCTAATATGTAAATACATTAGAATATTTATAATTTATATTACAACTAGTTGAATTACCCGACTTTGCCCGGAGAAAAATTTAGATTGTTTAATTCTTTTTGGGTGTAACTCATTGTGGAAGCAATGTCTTTTTAAGTGTAAATTAAATTATATTTTAATTTACATCAATCTTAATCGGCATTTTTTTGAGATTCACTTGTAATAGATGCGAGCAGTATATATCAGGTAGACAATCTACATACTTTAGATTGTGGACCTCGTGAAGTGTGTATATAAGTGTATTTACTCTAAAGTATCAAAGTTATACCAAGTTTGACGTTTTTACTTAATTCGACCTAAAGGAGGATATAGGATACAATCCGGTGGTTTTTCATCCTCCAGAAAAAATTATCAATTAACACAAAACCCTAACGTAACCTAACCGTACTAAAATCCGATGAATAAAAATGATTCAAACATTCATATGTATAGATAAATAAGTAATCAGGAAAAATAAGAAAAAACAGTTCTACGAATTGGGCCACCTAAACAGTAGTAGTTTGAAACTCGAGACATTCTACACTAAAATACATAGAGGTGCGACAACAGGTTAATCGCATTTGGTGGTATTTTCTTGGCTTTTTAAATTTAGGCCCAGTGGTTTGGGCAGTACGTTGATCGTATATCAAACTCTCAACCCCTTTTTACCTCTTTAGTTTACGAATTTTGAAAAATTCTTTCTCAGTGGGTGTCTACGTCATAATACGAAACTACTACCGGCAAGACAATGATGGACCAGCCAGTCAGTCAGTCAGGACAAGACTTTATTTTACATAGGTACATAATAATAAATTATATAGATTAGCCTTTTTTTAAGTCTAGTGACTTCCCTTTTCTACTGACATATAATTGTTCATAGATTTTGGGAAAAATGAACATAACACACAGAAAATAGCGATTGTAGTTATTTTGAAAATAATGAGCCATTGATGTAAGTAAGCTGGTGAATTGTTAGCACAGCACTGTATGGGAAACTTTATCCAGAGCCAAAATTAAGTTACGAATTACAAATTTGTGGTTTATATAATATAGTACTGGTGTAATTTTTTGTGGGACATTTTGACTCTGAGGTGCATGGGTAAAGTGCCTGATATTTTGTCGTAATTTCAAACAATAGTGACTTTTAGAACTGTTTATTTAACTAGATGATAAATTAATATTTGATTTTAAATATCAAAAACTTACATTTACAAGTGCTAGTCCAGGAAGAAAAAATTAAGCTAGAGTATTCTGAATATTATGCCTCTAACGTAAGTATATACTTTAGTATAATAACTAATAAGATACAATCATAATCTTATTACATTTTAAACATTACCCAGTTATTTGGCACGATAGGAGTTATACTGTTATTTTTGATCACTTCCTCTTGATTTTTTGCATCTTTCCAGATATAGTAATCTGCATAATGAGTTTCATTATTGACCGATCTTTTAAACCAAATGTGTTTATCACTGGTATGATTAGGAACAAAGTCCATGATAACTTTTAAATCTATAACATTATTATTTTGTATTATATTTAAATATAACTAAGTAATACGTATAATGGTTTGAGTTTAGTTCAATAATATGTTGTTATATAAAATACATTATTCACAAACTTTTTGAATGTGCGGAGTTTAAAAGATCTTTTAAATCATCAATTGTACCAAAAACATGATGTACTTCTTGATAATTAGTTATGTCATAGCCACCAGATTCTAAAGGTGATTCGAAAAATGGAGTCAGCCAAATAGCGGTTACTCCTATATCGACGAGGTAATCCAATTTTTGAGTTATACCTGTTAGTGGAAAACGATTTTTTTTAACAAAATTAAAATAAACATGAGTTATAATATTAATAAAAAGTACCTTTAAAATCGCCTGATCCGTCACCATCTGAATCTTTGAATGACAACGGGAATATTTCGTAAACTATAGCATTTTGCCACCAATCCAATTCAACAGTTGGTCGTAGTATTACTTTACAATACATTAATTGTATGCTAGTAATTAACAAAAAAGTCAAAAGCATTGTTTTATATTTTCATTAGCTATTATACCATCAAAAAACAACATAGTAATTTATACTCATATGGCTGGTGTAAAGGTCTACTTCATAGTGATTTCATATTTAAAACTACTCGCGTTTATATGGGTAGGTAGTGTTCAAGTTCAAGACTGGTTTGAAGTAGAAAATAAATATTTATTCTAATTATCTAAGATATAAATTATAAATCCAATCCATGTAAATATATAATACTAACATAAATATAACATAGAATTGGATTAAAAGTGAATGCAGACATTTATATTGCCTCGTTAATAGAACTATCGTATTCAAATATTAATAATTGTATCTACTTAATATTTTAAGGTATATTCTCTGCTATAAATAAAACTAATATTACTAATAAAACTAATCATAGATTGTCAGTCCACTGCGTGCTCGCTAACACTGAAACAATAAATTGCTTTATACTATATTATAATATTATAGTTAGTCAATTAGTGCGTACTATAAGACAACATTATTATTCGGTCCCCAAAAGTAGTAAACTAGATAACTTACAACGAACATAGTTCAACTAGAATTACAAGCTTCATCTATATTATTCTAAATCTTTATTTTTTCATAATACACTACTAACGTAAGATACAATTTTTAAGTATAATTCTAGGTACAAATCTATTACTAAACCACCCGTGGAACAAAAATGTATGATATGGACCAGTTGAAAGCAGTGAGGTGGATTTCAAGATCGAACGGCGATACCTGAATTTACGTATATATCTACGATTATAACACAAACATTAAATAGGTAAATTTATCAGTAAATTTATAAAATGCCATAAATTCTACTTTACCTGTATTAAATATTATTTATAATAGTTAAATAGTATATACAACTTGTGTGGACAAAATAAAAGGTTGTTTTGGTTGTTAAGTTATTAATACTTATCGGCGTCCATTGCATAATAATTGTAAAACTAAAATATAAAGGTTAACATGTACCCTATATGAAAACAAAATCTCTCTAATTTTAAATTTGTCTATTTAAAATTTTAGTTTTAAAAACACATAACTTTACATATAGAGTTATGTTGTAGCAGATTGAAATATACAGTAATTGTATGTATTTTCTTAAAAAAATATAAGTAAATTTTTTCTCAAACTAAATAAATTTGAATTGGGTTATTATAAAATTGATTAATATAAATATGTCATAATGCCAGATATAAATAAATTCGAATTAAAAAAAAAACGATACAACATTGGTTTCTTTACATTCACTTTCAAATAAAATACAAATATACAATTAGCTTGACAGAATGTCTATATTTTCGCGTAATTTTCGTTTATTATGCCTTTTTTTTTTAGGGAGAGAGAAAGATAAATTGTTTTCAATCAAGCAGGAAACAATAGAATCCATAATCTTCAGTAAAAAATACATTTCAAAACACATATAATATAAGGTAAGTATAACCTTGTATAGATTTTCACGTTCAAAACCGCCTCTATTGTGTAGATCCACGAGAAAAATAATATTAAAGACATTATAATGAAGATACCATATCGTATTATGTAGAAGTATAGGAAATATTGCACAAAAGAATAAAATCCAATTATAAAGGAATAAAGGAATTGTATGAAATTATGTTAAAATTATTATATTGTAACTAAAATTAAACTCAGATAAAATACTCGGAAAAACTATATAACATTTCATTTGTATTGAATATTTTCACAACTAACCCAGCTTCCTTAAAAAAAAATAAAAATAATAATAATAAAATAATTATTATGGCGACAGGATACGGAAACTCAGTATTTGGCACTAGTCTCGCTTCTCTGGTCGGGCCCCAGTCCTTATTTTATTATTATTTTCTATCTGAAAACAATGGTGAAACAACGCATATTTAGAATACTGCATTAACTGTGAACCTAAAAATGTTCACAATACTGTTAGTTAGTTTTTTTTTTTTAATTTCAAGTGGCTGCATCAAACAATAAATTATGACCAAAAATAACGTTTATTGAAAATAGTGTAAAAAATAATATCACATAATATTTTGTACTTGTGACCTATTAAATTAAAATTTTAAATATTTACCTACTAAAAATGAAGTCCATAGATAATATTTAAATACCATTTAAATGTTTAAAGTTAATGCATTTATACGACCAAATCTCTGATCCGACATTTTAACTACGATTGAATCAAGCAACTATATTAAAACTTGGACTAAATATTAGATAAACAATTTTTTTTTTTAAATTTCCGATCATCCAGATTTTGGTCGATACGAAGAATTTTTTGAAACACTATTTTTCCAAAAAAAGTATAAGTTACTGAATAAATATTATCTAACAACAAGTAATATTAAAAACCTCTAAAGATGTAAGTACAGTATTAAGACTTTTTCCGATTAAGAATAATTATTTGTCAATCAATAAAAATAACTGCACAAATGAACGATTTTTTGTTTGTTCGTTTCTAATATTGAATAATTGATTAATAATATTGGGTTACTAATATAAAATATTTTTAAAAAAAACTACTCGGTTCTAAAGAGTTTTTTTTATCATGATATTATATTCTTTTTAAAAAAAACCATTAAATTCGAAAATAATTTAAATGAAATATTAATTTCATTTTTGTAAAGGTTAAATTTTGTTCATTAATTTTAACTTTTGCATTGCGTTGAATTATATTTTGTATTTAAAAATGTTTATTTTACTACCTAATAGTTTTATAATTAATAAAGAAGAATAAAAAAAGGTCAAATTAATTTTGATTTAGTCTAATCGGCTACCTATTAGTATTATTTTATTCAAACCATCGCCCGTAAACTTCGGAGAAGAGTTGAAGGGACTTTGTGTTGGTATAAAGCGTGCCTGTAAACAATAGTTAGCTTAATATTAATTAGTTTGTCTGAGGTAATTTCCATTATACTACGAAAATAGTTGTTGCCGATAACAACGCCTAGGTACAGTTTCAGAAAAACTTTTACGATTCGAAATATTGTCCACCTCTTCCCAATTAATTTTGAAATGTGTTTCGTTGCTATAATATTATAATGTCATGGCAAGGTTTTTAATTTTAATTTTTTCTACGGGTTTTCGAAGGAGTACACCCATTTTAACCGGAAGTGAATATTCGTCCCGGGCAAATCGTACGCGGCATTCAAATCCTGTACACGCATGAGAGGGATGGGGTGTTGGCACGGGGATAACGGGGTGGGAGACGTAAAATAAAAACAAATGAGCAATTATTATTCATAGCTCAGGCTTAGGGGAAATCCTTATCCGGTTCACTGCTGGCTGCGCACCACCGGGTGGGCAGAAAGGTCTAGATTTATGTTTGCGGCGTTTTTTCGGTGTCAAATCCGCTTGTAACGTTATGTTATTATAATAATATAATATACGGAATATCAGCAGCGCATGCGCGCCCGGGATTTATCACGAACGTTCGTTCTACCCGGACTCGGTATTTATTTATTACACGTCATAATAACTGCGAGTCGTGCACGACAATTATGTGTTTTGCAGACTGCAATGATTTTATATTATTACGATTTACGATAATCACATGTGCAGTAGTTATAATCGTTGGTGAAAATACCGCGGAGACAAACTCACTTGGATGAGTGAGATACTAACAGCGGAACTAATCCTAAATCCTCCGAACTCACTCACAAAAATGCTCGTCTTCAACGTAAGAGTAATATTGACGTTTGTCTTATTTTCTGCAGTAGTATTTTTAGATTCTGAGCTGAGCGATAAATGTATTAGTTTTACAATGAAGTGTGTTTTTTTTTTGTGTCTGTGTACACTATAAGTATTCGAATTAATGCTTCGATTTTCAACTTCAGTATCTTGTTCAATGGGAAATTGAATATTTTTGGTACATAATTGGGGAGGTCAACATTTAAAATTCCTAGTAATTTTCAAAAGCTCCGAGAAAAACAAAAAAAAAATAAGGAAAACTTGGAATTTTTAAGCAAAATCGGTTTTCGAGAAAATCGATTTTAGTTTTTGGTGTAACTCAAAACCAAATGACCGTAGATATATGATATTTTCAATGGATATTTATATTAGCATTTTCTATACTTACACGATAAAATTTTCAAAAAATTAACTAAACTTACATATGAACTTACACATGCACATCATAAACACCGTGGCACTGAACGTGTTAATAATTCATTCATAATTACGTACCCACCTCACGGGATTCTCCAACCTGAAAATAAATTGCTTTTATAATTAGTAATTACAAGTCTCACTGACGGGATGGCTATGATAAAATATTATTATAATATAATCAAACGTGTCCTGACTGATTCGCTGACTGCCAACGAAGGTCGAAGATTCTAAACAACGATGGATTTAGGCTTGCAATTTTCACGGTACCTTTGTACCACCATATTATGTAAGTTTGAACTAAGCAAGCATTTTCTTCAAGTATTTTGAGATTCAAGATGATAGATGAAAACGTTTAAGTATTGTACGCATCATTGAACCAAATATTAAAAAAAAAGGTGGGCAAGTGGGTGTCGCTCTGCTGTACAGTAGGTTACAAGTGGGTCACTGTATAATGGATGGTATTAAATTTGAATTCAATGATATAATATCATTGTATAAGAAAAACGATTCTGAGCGGTAACGGTATGTCAGTCTATGTATAAGACATATTATATACATATCTATGGTATTAAACAAAAAATTGACCTATAATAAATTCCAAATTAATCATATCACAATATACATTAGATACTTATAACAGTTATAACGCGTTATACATCAACAAAAACCGTGATACTGTCATAGATATATAATAGTACACTTTAGAAGTTTCAAGTACCCACGAATAATATTATTCAATCACAACTAAATAACTAAAATCGTAATTCTTGGTTTAAATATGAAATTTTGTCTAAATTTGAAATTAAAATGTCTGTAAAAAATAAGTGTGTTTATATATTTTTTAGATTTTTTGGTTACAGTATGAATTATTTAAGAGAATCTTT